CATGTGTAGGACCTCAGCGTGGTGCTTCTCTCTCTCAAAATCATCTTGGAAAGGTTCCATTTCTGCCTCCTGCTCATTCAAACATTTACATGAAACAAATATATAGAAAGCAGAAATAAAACGCTGTTACATATTTGTTGTTCTTTAAATCTAATTTAGTTGCGTGGAAATTGAACTAATTAAACAAAACAATAACATGGGACTTGCTGGATTCAGTATATTTGCAATCATAGACAGGATATCAGAAGAAACATTTTATGCTAATAATACTTCAGTTAATTTAATTTGCTTTATCAGACAGCTAAATAACTTTACCAGACATAGTTCAGCATAATACTTAAAAATTTCATTGTTTTCATCCTGATTGCTAGGAAGTGTTCCACCACACCAACCATTGCCTTCATTAACAGACGTCCTTGAGAGGTAAGTTGAAAAGCAAGAAACCCAACTGAATTTTAAATACAATGTAAAGCTACAGAAGCAACTTTATGGGGTGGTGAAGAACCAAAGTTTAAGAGAAAGAATACAAGGAAATGGTTAGCAGAAATGAATGTCATGATTTGGAATTGACAATATGTCCTCTAGTGTGTTTATGTGGTACTAAATGTGTATGCCCATGCACAGATATAGATGCATGCAGGAAGTATCTGCTAGATTGGCTGAGGCCAATCTTAGAATTTCCAGGCTGAATCATGCTAGGAAAAATGAGCTAAATTCCAGGCTCCACCTCATCATAAGCCTACTAAGGGCTAGCCCAACAAATTGAGTGGAACAATTATATGGTTCCACAAAACCAAAGAAAAGCATGCCTATTTATCATGCAACAGAACAATGGCTTTCTGAGAAAATACTTCTGGAAGAAATCTTGTTCATCTATATCACTGTATGAAGAAGACCAGTTGATCAAGCCACAAAAATCATCAACTTTGATTGCACTATTATGCCCTCCAGTTGCTATTTTGCATGGAGTGACTTTGGGATCAGAGCCACTTTCCTCCAACTTTCCCTGGCCAAAGAGCCAATTGGGGCCTTTGAGCTGCATTTCACTGTACCAGATTATCAAAGATAAGAAATGAGTAATATTTTCCACTTGATTACATATCATGGTTGCAGCATTGTCAAGATCAGAATGCAAAACAACATCCAGAGTTATAAAATAATGGTAATAATGAGAAATATTTTACTGAACTCAGATGATAAAAAATATAAAAAGAAGTTTTGTCCAAGTTATAAAAAATAAAACTGAAATCCTGGTAATTATAAGAGAAGGAAAATGCATTTGCTTGTTTTCCATTCATCCAACATAACATTCTAGAAAGTAGCAGTGTAAATCAAGGGGTAAACTTAAGAAAGCAAAAAAACCATTTATGGCATTTCAAACAAAGTAACAAGGACAGCTTGTTTCCACCTAAAACTACAAAACAATAGACATCATAAATGTCTCAATAATTGATCAGAAGAATATTAGTCCAGCTGCAAAAAAGAGATACTTTGAAGAGCAGATTTAAAATGAGATAGAAAATAAAATACCTCTAAACCAGAAATAGGACCAAGCAATCATCAGTAGTGATTACTTTTTCATAAAAACATTACATCAGCACTAAACAGGCGAATGGTATCATATGCAATGCTTAAGAAACAGTGCATACATGCAGTGCAAGAAAAAGTTAACTAATCTGAGAATGCAGACTACAAAATAATTTCAAACATATAGATGAGGTAAAATGTAGAAGGAATATTTATGCTGCATCTGGTGCTAGTGCCACACCAGCATTTCCTGTTGACCCCCTGGGTCTTGGATCAGGTTCACTGCAAATTCTAACATCCTTTATTGAAGTGCATGTTCTCTCTATCAATTTACCAAGTGATGCCAACTTCATCTGTGAAAAATCTTCTCTGCAAGCTGGAATAGGAGCACGGGTCCTTCCATCTATG